TTTATTTGAATATTCTAAATTGTTAAAAAAATAGATCAGTAGTATATTTATAGTACTAATACAGGCAAATTTGCTTGTATTGGTCTACAATTTAAGAAATAATACTATAATTCTTCATAGAGCTCTACTATTTGCTTTTCGGCTATTTCCTTCAGAATAAGTTCTTGCCTAGCATATTCTGCTATTATTTCTTCTACTTGTATGTTTATTATTTCGTCAATTATTGCTATTGTTATACTTTAGATATTTGCTATTACCTCTTTCATACCTTTTAGTATATCAGAGTTAATATAATCTATCTGTATATTTTTATATCTTCATATATTTTTTTAATTTCATCTTTGCTAAATCTGCTAAGGCAGGTTTTTTCCATAATTTTTTTGCTTCACATAACTTGTTGTTTTCTGACTACTATTATTTATTGTATTGTTTGATGTAGTTGTTTACTATTTTTGTTTACCTTCGTCATGTAGTTTTTGTTGTTATATATTGTGATTTTTATATTACCAAAACAAATTTGTGATTCAGAGTCAAGGCCAATTCTTCCAAAGTTTGCAAAGTATAAAAAAATATCAACGATTTTTCACAACTTCTTCTATTTTTTTGTACCTTTGCTTTTCTTACTCAAGTCTTTTAAGAGATTAAGTATTTCTTGTTGTTCTTTTTCTCTTTACTTAGAGGCTTGAGATTAGTTTTTTAGTAACTTTTGTGTGTTTTTGTAGTTTTTTGTTAATTTTTGTTTTTAGAATTTTGTATTTTGATAATTAGCAGAAAGAGTTATACTTTTTTTTGAATATAAAAAAATAAAGTATTGAAGAATACTTATATTAACTAAACTACTACAAATAGATAAAGAATCAAATATTTAGCTAAAAATTTTTTAGAAACTTGTAATGATAGTACAAGATCTACTAGCTACCTATTAGAGAATATCTGTCTAGTATATAAGAAAAATACATAGTTATTAGACTATTTAGCTTAGAAGTTCTATAGATAAATAATTAAAATCACTAATACCAACTAGGCTGCTATTTAATTTAGAGAAAAATAAATAATATATACCAAACTATCTAAATTGAAAATTTAGAAAAAAGAAGTAAGATTACTAAATTACTAATAATATACTGTGAAGTAAGTTCTAAGATTTGGGTAAACTTTACAAAAACAGAAGTAAGTTGAGTAGTGAAATTCAAGCAAACTAGAGTTAAATAAAGATAAAAGCAGAAAAAAATTTAGAAAACCAAAAGAAGAAACTATAAGCAAGAACCTTAACCCAATACTATAATACTTCTAAAATGAATAAAACTAAAATCACAAATAATAGATTACAGTCCATATGTAATAACCAAAGCACAAATCATAAAATATACTAGACAAATACACAGCATTGTATGTCCAGAGTTAATATTTAATATATACACTAAATATATACTATTATATTTAATATCAATATAGTTGATTACGTATCTATTATTGTTTTTGTTGATCAGTTAAATTTGATTGGTTGAATATCACATGATGTGGCCAGACAAACTGACAAATAAATATTTTTTTCATTTTGCATAGACATATAGCATCCTCCACTTCGTTCCGGACAATAATAAAAGTGAAAATACTGCAAACTTTACCAGGTTTATCTCAAAGATAAAAAACTAGAAGTAGATTATAAAGAGATAGAAATCTGCTTTAAAGTTTTAAATTATTATATAAAGTATATATCAGGAAAGCTAGTTCTTTGAACCAGAAAAATAGTTGCTAATTAATATAGAACTTGAAATATATAAGCACTAAAGTTAAGATAGATAACTCTTTAGTCAGATTGCAGATATAACAATTAGTATAGAATCTAATAATAAATAGACTATTTAATTAAATATTTAAAAAATACAAATATAGCTAAATATACTCTTCAAATATATATAATAACTATTATAATACAATAAAAATATATATAACCAAAAATTATCTTAAAACCAAAAAAAAGAAGCCAAAATTAGAAATAACAGATAAAAACACATGCAAGATATAAATATAATTTATATTCAGTAATTTAAAAAAAATAATTTTTTTATAATAATAATCTGATTTAAAAACAGTAAACTAGTTTATTTTTTTAGTACTAAAAATCAAATAAACAAAGGTGAACAAAATTAAATTTAAGACAAAAAAAAAATAAAAAAATAAAAAGCTCAAAATAGAAAAAAAATTAATAAATAGCAAGCTTAAACTAATTAATAACAAATATAAAACAATTAGTAAAAAAACAAGACAGAATTTAAAAATTAAAAAAAATATAAAAAATCAAAACACAAAAACAGACTACCACTAAGAAAAATAAAGAAAAAAAAAAAAAAAAAAAAATAAACGTTTGTAAAAAAATAGAAGTTTAGCTAGTTGCAAAATAAATAAAATATATAAAATAAAATATATACAATATAAGTTTCTTAAAAGATTAACAATTTAATACTTAATATTGTTTGCAAGTACTAACTATAACCAAAGTATAATTGTGTTGTGAATTTTAAATATTAATAGGTAGTTCTGACAAGATATATAATCACTAACTATTGATCAAAAAAAAAAATTCTTAAATTTAAAAACCAAAAATTACTAAAACAAATTGTATTAAACAAGCTTGATAAACCTTTTGTTTGGTTAGATTTATAATAAAAATTATTATAATTTGTTGAATAGTTTAAATCTCAAATAAACAAAAACAAAATTGCCAAATTACTATAAAATATATATAATTATATAATTTTAGCTTTTTTTACTCCTTTTTTCTAAAAAGTCACCTAATTTTTGTCACTTCCCTTAATAAAAATTTTTTATTTTAATTCTACAACTTACAAAATTAAAACAAAAAAATTTTATTAATTTGAATTTGATAGTTAAAATATTTTAAATCAAAAAAACTTATAATTAAAAAATATTTGTTCTATTTATATTAACTTCACTATATAGTATTTTATTACGTAATTAAAATTCTATACTGTAAAATAAATATTGATTTTATTAATATTTTAAAACAATGCCATTCCTATAACTTTTTATGAAGTTTTTACCCTTTTTTTAGATTGATTCTCAGACTTAACCATCTTTACCTAAAATTAATAATACATATTATTTTCATATAACTATCGCTTCATTATATAATAGAAAATGATTCTAACCTTTCTTTTCGAATTTCTCTGTTCTAAATGAGAACTATTATTTGATTTTGTAACTTCAACACCATTACTATTATTACCGTCAGCTTTGTTATGTCCCCTGACATTGCTGTCTCTATCTTTTGATAATCTAGCCCGTTTTTTGACGATAATACAATTCTCAGTTGCAAATTCCAAAATCAATCTCTTTTTTTCACCAAATATGGCTGGGTTGTTGTTAAGATATCTCAATGCTGCTAATGCATGAGAATGTTGTGTGAATTCAAGAAATCCATAACCCTTCGATCGCAGTTTTTTCGTTGAAGAATCAATTCGATCTTTGGACCGAACGATTTTGGCCTGTAAAATGTGTTATTAAATATTACCTACATATTAAAGGACAAAATTTATTATTATTATTAATTGCAATACCTGTTTGATATGAACTAGTTTGTCCCATCCTTCCATTTTCTCCGTTTTTGTTAGGTCTGCTCTTTTACCTTTTTTAACTTCATCTTTAAACTTTTTAATGCTTTCCTTGCCTAAATTTTTTAATTTTTTTTCATCTATGGAAAGTGGCAAATTTCGCACAGACAATCTAGTTTTTGATATAAAAAGATTTGGATTTTTTGCCAATAAATTCTTTCGAACAGAGAACGATGCAGCACGCTTAGTTACTTCCGAAGGTGGTAGCAATGCTGCATCTGGTGTATTTGGAAATACAGCTATAAAGCCAATTAATTAAATAAAAATAAGAAATCTAATAAAACTAGTAAAAGATTTTTATTCCAATTACTATTCATCATACCTCCTTCTTTAATCAAGTATGTGTTTCTTCGATCTTCTTTTCGCCTTTTATTTTTATTCATTTCCATTAATCTATGTGCTTCATCCTTATCAACAGCTTTGACCACTGACAAAACTCTACCATGTAATGTAAATTTGAGCGCTTGTGAGCCTGATGGATCAGCTGTGAGAACTGATTTATGAATTATCCCTTTCCGTTTCTTTTCATTAGTCGACAGTCCTGGCCGTTCAATTGAATCAAATCCAATGTGATTTACGCATCTCGCCTCCTCGAGACATGTATCTGCATGTTCTTTGTGTGCAAAACATACAAATCCAGTACCCCGCGAACGGCCCGTTGTATCATCCCTCGTTATTACACAATAACGTAATGGGCCAAATGGACGAAATCTATAATTTAAGCAAATAAATTGATACTGTGTTTGTTTGCAGTATAATTATGAAATATCATCTATTAAATTAGATACCAACTGACATGTCACTCAACTCTTCTTCAGTGGCTTCAAAGGAAAGATTGCGGACAAATAAGGCTGCATTTTCTGATAGCGAATGAAGTTTGTTTTTGACTGAATTGTTATTTTTACTGTTGTTTTCAACGCTGTCAACTTCACTCTCATCATCATGATCAATATCTTTACTGCTATCTTCAGTGCTGTCAACTTCATCATCATCATGATCAATATCCATATCTATCACTCTGTTTTCGTAAGAATCATTATAACTCTTTACTTGTTGATTTTCACTTTCATCTGTTTCATTTTCATTCGATTCCTCAGAACCTTCAGCACGAGAATCGATACGACAACCATTATTTTGTTCACAAACATGCTTGCTTTGTTGAGATTTCAAAGCTTTCAAATACTTATCCTTAGGTAATGACCAATCAACAGCAATAGTCCGGCCATGATGTTTGGTTTCATTCATTGCATTGATTGCCTATTATTTAAAAATATTTAAGTAAAGTCAAAAATAAGTTCACTAAAAAAGCAACTGTATATCTACCCTTTCAGCTTCTTCAACTTTTTTATATTGTATATAAGCAAATCCGCGTAAGGGACCATTTGGATATTTACGCGGTAAATTTACTTCAACTACTTCTCCGTGAACAGAGAAAATCTTTAAAAGCTCTGATTCTTGGTACTGTGTGAAATTTTATGATTTTGTTATTTTTAATAATGAGAGCTTAATAAGATGTTAAAAAAAGAAAATAGGTGAGACAATACCTCCCATGGAATATTACGAACGATCAACCGGAATTTTTTGTCAACTGATACTTTCTACGATGAATAGAATTATTAATCAATAGTATGTAGTCGGGATTAAATAATTCCAGAGTCAGCCTTACTTTTTTAACCAACAATTTTGCATTCATTTTTGATCCATGAAATACATGTCCATCCAAACGGTTCAACCCTTCAGCTGCGTCTCTTTCAGTTTTGAAAGTTATATGCGCTAGATTGCAATTAAACAATTCATAATTCATATACCATAAATAAGATAACTAAGAAAGAAGTAGGAGCCGTTATGAGTCCGGAAAAAAATTTATCACTTTTATAGGTTATACGAATGTGCAATGGTGACAACAGAGAATTCAAAGTTATGCTTTCGATATTTTTATTAAAAAAATATCGCTTTGCATAAAACAATATTTGTCATGCTCCGGACAATAACAAGAATTAAAAATAATGATCTTACCGATCTTTTTTTCCTTCTTCAATAGGAAAAATTATATCTTCAATATTTCCAAACTTTCTGACTATTTCATAAATCTTTTTTCTAGTCACGTCTTTCGGTAATCCTTCGACGATCAATGTCCGATTTGATCCTTTGTTTTCTGTCTTTTCCACTTGCGATTTTTTCAAATTAAATTTTTTGTCCGATTTTTTTTCGATATTTGGGGGTTTTTCGTGTTTTTTCAAAGCAAATTCCAATTTTAAGATCTTTTGGTCACGGAATTTTACCTTTTTTAATTCTTTTATGGCTCGTTCTGCATCTTGACTTAGTACATATTGAACAAACCCAAAGCCTCGATTTTGTTCTCTTTTACCAGTATAAGGTTGAGAGCTATCAATATTAAATGTATTATCTTTATGCAATGAACAGTCTAGAGTGGCATCTAAGCTCCTGGTTTCTTTCACAGTAAAACAAGATCTCAATGGTCCGATCTCTGAAAAGAATGCCTCGAATTCACTGTCAGCAGTATCATACGGAATTTTTCGAACAAAAAGCGTGGTTTTACTGCGTGCTGAAGAAAATGAAGTAGATTCATTTGCGTCCTCTTCCTTTTGAAAAATTTCGTCCTGCATTGTCAGTTTTCAAAATTTTCAAATCGAATACTTGATAAATTTCTATTGGCTGGGATTATTCGCGTATCTAGGATTATCTAGGATGCTAATCGGTCCTTTGGGATCGAGTCCTAACCAGTGTTGGAAAATATATGTTCACACAAAGTTAATTAACATAGTTACGTATAGAGGTTGGAACCGGTTTTAATAATTCGAGTTTATCACGTGAATTTTGTGATATTTTAGAATTTAATCCAATTA